AGCCAATGAAGCTAATTTTTTTTTATTTCACTATTTGAAAGTTTATGTTTCAATCAGTACATCTGCAAAAAATCTGAATTTTCACTCTTTATCTTCCCTCTCAAATTGATAGTTGAATGTGGTCAAGCTTGACGTCACATTAATCGATTCTCGGCGACAAAGGAGTGCTGGCGACGCGACGATGGCAGCGATTCATAATATCCAACTACAGGCCCGGTTGCCACCGCTCGAAGCTCGTTGCTTGGTGTGACGTCAAAATGTATTGCGGGCGATCTCATTTTCAATTGCTCCTGCTCAGTTGTTAATTGACATAAAAACCGGAAAATTCTGTGGGATACTTGGGAGATGATTTACTTTCATAATATATAATTTCCAATAAAAATCTAAATTAGCCTGAGTGAGCCCATTATCGTCAATAAGAGAGTGTGTTTCGCGAGTCTTGGTTTACACCTGCCGATACTGACACCTGTCAGATATAATCCAACGTCTTGACACTGGCCTGAACGAATTGTTTTTTTAGATGATTTGAAAAATTTAGAACTGGTAACTACTTTTCCGTTATTGATGATTTCAGAAAAATATTTAACTCACCTGTATTATTTCCGGAAACTTTATGAAAACTTTCATCCATCCTCATTATTTTATCATTCCAATGAACTATTCGAAAACAACAGGTATTTGAAAATACATATTTCAAAGGCATGAAAGACCGAATAGAAACATCCTACGAATGCTCTCAAAAGGAATCAGCAAAACAGAAATTCGAAACAATGTTTGCCATGTGAACAGACACCCTTTGAGATGTTTGTATTGCTATTCTGACATCAAGGAGGTATGTAAATAGTGCGGCGCTACAAGCAAACGAACATTTTTCTTATTCCGCTGCTATAAATATCCACTTCTAGATCCTTTTTCAGACACTTCTCTAATTAGACTTGCTGCGTCAAATAAGAAGTGTTCGCAACAGTATACAGAAATATCGTACGTAGAGCAGCTGGTGGAGGACAGGACCGGATTCACTAATATTTAATTCACACAAAAATTTGAGGTGGAATGTAAAATCTCTCTCAACAAATCCAAAATCTGTCATCAGAAGTATAAATCGTAATCTTTACGCGAAAAATAACTTTGTGATTTCAAAACTAGCCTAAAATATGACCGTTGGTTTCTGTAGAGATGCAAATAGTAGAACAAATGTTACTAGAAACTATCGTCAAAGAGCAAAGATCAATACCAGAGTGTTGTGATCAGGAACGATAATTCTTATGATCAGAAAGGTAAGTATGACCATTGAGACTCACAGTGAATACATTGATCATCTTGTGAGATATGAACCACTCAACTCTAAAACAAATCAATGTTGTTACTGGAAAATCAACAAATATTTCAGAAAATCTGAAAAACCCTAGGAAAATCAATGGTTTCTTCATCAATTTAACACCACACTTGGAATCACCTGAAGAACTACTGAATTTTTACAGAAGTCCACTTTGGAAAAGTAAATGACTTTTCATTAGTTTGGACTTCCATTGTCTAGTATGATATAAATTTATTCGAAATCCCCGAAAGATTCTGTGAAAAAATGAAAAAATTAAAATGTCAACTGGAAAAATAACAATTATATTAGGCATAAAAACTGAATTTACAATTAAATAAAATACAAGTAACCAAAAAATAAAAAAAGGAAATATTAACACGAAATGAAAAAAACAAAAATTATTAAAATTAAATGAAAAAATAACAAACTGAAAGATTCCAAACCAAGTTAATTCACAACGGGATTGCCACTTTTACCGGTTATAGCCAATATATATAGAGTGGCTTGAAATTCTGGCCATTGAAGAGGCCCACAAGAAGCCCCAAATCTGGTTGAGATACGTGGACGACAACTTCATGATATGGTAATGCAGAACTAGACACCTTCCTGAAGCACATCAACAACGTAAGTCCTTCCATCAATTTCACAATGGAGACGGAAGTCCACAACGAATTGCCATTCTTAGACATATTGGTGAAGAGAACCGACACTAAATGGGAAATATCTGTACATCGAAAACCCACTCACACAGAACAGTATCTGAACTAGAAGTTCAATCACCATCAATCGAATAAGAGAGGAACCATCAATAATATACTATACCGTGCTTTCGGGCACTGTAATACAAGGGAAGGTCTCGAAAAGGAACTAGGCACCATAAAAATGACCTTCAACGGAATGGTTACTCCAAAGTTATGGTGGAACAAGCTAGGAGAGAGCAAGAGCTCCATAACGAAGGGAAGCCGCCACAACCAGTACTTGCACTTCCCTACAGTTTTGGAAAGGATAAGAAAGATTGAGTACAAGTATAACATCAGAACCTGTTCCAGATCTGGGAAAACTATCCGTAGCAGCCTCACGAAAACCAGGCCACCAAACGCGGACTGCGATTCCAAGAATTGCATTTACCGGATACCCTGCGAGTGTGAAGAACCATACATCGGTGAAACAAAGAGGCCATTGAAAGTTCGCATTGCCGAGCACAAGAAACACACACAGCAAATCAGGAATAGCCGAAGCAGATTTGCCGAAACTATCTTAAATATAAACACTAATGCAGCTGGTTGTGATGAATTGAATATTAGGCTAATCAGACTATATTGTTCACGTATAATTGAGTATATCACCCATACTATGAAGACTCGTCTCCTTGAGGGTATTTTTCCAGCAACTTGGGATATAGCGCTAGTTAAAGTGCTACCAAAAAAATCAAACCCTGTTGAATATAAAGATCTTCGTGCTATCAGTATCCTACCTATTTTGTCGAACGTATTAGAGCGTGCGATGAGGGGCAGTTAACAGAACATCTTTCGGAATTCAATATACTACCACCTGTTCAACCACTCTCCTACACGTTGATGATATCATAAAAGCAACCGACCAAAAACAGTATAGTATACTCAATCTGAGAGATAGATTTCATAGAGTTTCTATTGACAACATAGAGTCTTGCCATCTTCCACTCATATCTGGAGTACCACATGGCTCAATATTAGGTCTCGTATTGTTGGCTCTTTACTCCGCCAATAATCTCAGAAGTATTCAGCAATTAAACATTCATTGTTATGCGGATTATACCCAAATTTATTTATATATTTCGTCTCCGAAACGCACGATACATGCAAGATAATAGGGAACTCAATATATTCGTCAAAAATGCTATAGATCATTGTCTAATTATAAACCCCTCCAAAATCAAAGGCTATCTCATGTGGACCCTATAATAAGTGAGTTGATGTTCTAAACTCAATAGATATTAAAGTTAATAATGAATCTATCAAACTAGTAGACGAAACCAAGGTTCTAGAGGTACTATTGGATTTAAACTTGAGGTTTGAAATACATGTCAATGCATTAGTGCAAAGAGAAACTGCAGTCTATTAGATTGATGAAATAATAATTTTTTTAAAGTATTTCTATTCATGTTCAGTTCCAGGATGATAGGAATTGAAATTGGAATACCTTTCATAGCTGAATGGTTTTCTATATGAATCTGTGATGATCTATACTTTTTAAGTAAAACGCCCAGAAAAAAAACTGAATAACATTTTTCTGAAAACATTGTACATGAAAGTTTCCCATTTTTTTCATTATTGCCCCGGAATTTTTTGACACATCGCGGAAAATGAGGTCTTCAACAGAAATCACGTACAGCACCGTCTCTGTCCAGAAAGTACGTGACGAATTCGCTAGCATTGTCTGGATTCTAGATTGCCCTCTGGCGACTTACCAACTATTTAGATTGCATTATAGGGTCTTGTGTTGTAATGGACATGTCGCGGTCCGAGTACTCTGCTGTTGTGTACCTACTACGCTTCATTATCACGTGATATAATGATCCATTTCGAGTATCTGCGGCTGGTTTTGGAACGTGGGACACTGTAAAGGCGGAGTTGCATTTTTAAATGGAAATTCAGAGAAGGATTTCGTTTGAAAAACGACCAGTCACTGTGCTGTTCTGTAGAAATGCTGAAGGATAAAGTTTGGATTTTATTGTCGCGTGTTGGCCTGTTTCACAAAGGGGCAGAGCTCACTTGGATATAATGAGACGGCGGTCACTAGAACAAAAAAATGCAAATAACTCTCGTCAGTTCTTGGGCCTTGGCTCATTCAATATGAAATATTTCATATAAGTTTAGGTCTTGAATGCTTTTTTATGGCAAAGAAAACATGATTACTAAATTTCAGTTCATTATCTAGCATGAGCCCCAGATTTCTCTCTCAACTGGAAAATATTGATGGCGAATGAGAATATAATTTTGTGAATTCCACTACTGACATCTTCTTTCAAGTGATATCACTATTTCAATGGTAAGGAACCAGAAGGTATTTGATAAAAAACATGATAGTTGCTTTTCGAATCTGAACAGCAAATAAGACGTAAAATTCGGTATTTTGGCTCCCGAAATACTGAAAATCGTTCCCAGAAAAATGATATAATTCATCCGTAGATATCGAGAAGAGAGAAGATGAGGGAGTTACGTTTTCATATGTAAGTCGTGTTCAAAACCCAGGAGTATCGAATCTTTTCATTCATGATTCTGAATTAGTGAGAGATCGTCTCACTCAAATAAGAGTATCTTTCTCTCCAAACTGGAGTTTTTGTATGAAGAGCACTAGGACGATGTCTGAACTGAAAATTGGATGAATGTGTTGAAGTTACACCCAGTATAAACCCAAAATTCTTCTCCAAATATACCGGGATGTTTTATTGCAAAAGGTTATTATTATTTTTTATTGTTCAATGATGAACACACTATGAATGTCCATATATTCTTTCCTCTACTTTGAGAGTGAAGTTAAAAGCTGATGAAATTCATAGTATTCGTTTGAACAACATTTATAATATAATTGCTTCATTTTAATATATCCAGTTACTGGCTCTGTCCCAACTATGGCTCATCACAAAATAAACTCTATAGAAACCGCCGCTATATTAACTAATTTGTTACTTTTATTTCAGGACACAATGGAACCCGCTCTCTTTTCGATGAAACTAATGATACAGACAAGAGTGTGGCGCCAGTATTTGAGGACGTTTCGAACAGAATAGTATATGCAAGAGTTGGCCAAACTCTTCTACTACCTTGCACTGTCAGACATCTTGGAACCAAAGTGGTATGTTGTCGAATTTCAGTTTTTCATTATATTTTATTTCAGATATGGAAAATAAAATTAGATTATTTTTAAAGACAAAACATAGGCACTACAGGTGAATTGTTGGAGCGCTCTCAGAGCAGTACCTGTGCACCTGTGAACATAATTTCATTTGCATTAGCATGTATGCAGGTATAAAAAACGGTGCCTATATGAAAAAAGTACGTGAAATAGATCAGTCACTGTGTGGAATTCATTTTTTGGTTTTTTGGTGGTGGTCTGCCAGTTTTGTACCCGACGTTTCGTCTACTGCTACGGTAGACATCAAAGGCGATGTGGTAACAGTCGCAGAACTCTTTGCAACAACTTGGGCACTGCGACCATTACCACATCGCCTCTAATAATGTCTACTATAGCAATGGACGAAACGTCGGGCATAAAAATCTGTAGGGCACGGCCAGAAAACCTAGAAAATAGCTTTCACACACTTATTTTCGGCCGTGAAGGCTTATATTCTCTAACAGATGAGTCAGATGACTAAACTAAATCAATTTTATATAAATATCAATAGAGAAAGATACAATTATGTTGTGATGAAATAAAATGGTTGGCAATCGTTCATGAGGTTGCTGTATTCTGAAAATTCATATATGAAATATAATAACTTCGACGATAATCTTCGACTGTCATACCATTTCATGAAATGAATTTCAATGGTTAGAACTTCCATCTTCTAAAATAATAATATTAATATAATATAGGAATCACACGGTAGAAGGTAAGACCTCGTTAATCCTCAGCTCGCACAAGTTTTTATTTCTGAGGGTTGTCATTCGTAAGGGTGCGATAGCTGGTTAACGGAAAAACAAATTTAAACAGCCAGATTACTCTACAGGGTGATTCAAAAGTACTTTGACAAACTTCGGGAGATGATTCCTCACAATATTCTGATATGAATTGTCCAAATAAATAAATGTCCGAAAACGCTTCGTTTCCAAGATACAGGATGTTGAAGTTTTATTTTTATTTTCGTTTTTCTCAAATAACTTTTGAAATATTGAACTTAATTAAACGAAACTTGGTAATAGGAGGTTTTTGAGGTGTCGAATTCGAACCTGATGTTCTTATTGCTCTTACTCGTAGGGGGCGCCACCTACACGTCTTTTTCTTTTTTAAAGATCCATAACCTTTTTGGGCGTACTTCTAGCACATTTTTCAGTAAAAAAATCGATTCCTCTATCATATCTACGTAAATAAACTACCCTTGTTACTAGTTGCTGTAAGCAACCGTTTTCTAAATATTTGGATTCGAAGACTTCAAGTCGATTATTTGATAATCGATGCATGATGAAGTTATTACGAATATTTTGCATTTTTCACAAGAATGCTTTGGAAATAAATTTGACGTTTGTGAGTAGTTTTGGTAATTACATATTTTGTGACAGTTAGACGCTTTGTTGAAGTTTCCGTAAGTAGAAGTAGAAAACACTTATTTTGGAAAAATTGATTATTTAAACAATAATGCTCAATTAGTGCTTGGTTTAAGGCCTTGCGGATGGCAATGCGCGCGAAGCAAGACGTATTTACCAGGAGCGATTTCATAATCGAGTACAGCCTTCAGCTCCTACATTTGCTAGTCTCCACCGTCGTTTGGCAGAAACAGGTGGCTTTAAGAGGGCAGCTGATATTATTGGAAGACCACAAGCAGTCCGAACCCCAAAATTGGATTAACCGTTTGTTGGTACATTAGGTACATATGGTAAGTCAATATTATATTATAATTTGTTACACTAAAAAATAGAAAAATAAAAAATAAACGGACATATGTATAAATAAATAAAATCTTTCAATTCGTACATATGAATTGGAGCGTCAGTATATATAAAAAACAAACAATCAATATCGTTTACCATTTAAAAACTTAACAGTCATGTAAAATCTGTGTCTATCAATGTATCATTTATAAACTCTTGGTAACTATAATAGCACTTTCTAAGTAGAAAAATTTTAATTTTGTTTTGAAATACCCTATCATCGTCAATTTGTTTCAGCTGATTTGGTAACTCATTGTAAGAACTGATTACATTGTACCTCTTATAATGAGGTTGTGTGCTGTGGAATTCTTAAAGAAGCTCCATGCCGTGTATTATGTTCGTGCTCAGATCCATTTGTCGCAAGAACCGATAAGTTATGTCTTGCGAACAAAACACATTTTAAAATATAAATGGATATGAGGGTTAAAATCTTTTTTTTCTATAAAAATAGGCCGACAACTATCCCTGAAATTCAAATTGAATATAAGTCTAAGGATTCTTTTCTGAGCCACAAAAACTCTATTTAAGTCTCTTGCTCTTCCCCAAGCCATGATATTTGAACTAAGTCGAAAGTGAACCATTGCGTAGTAGATATTTAGTAAGCCTGCTTTATCTAAACTGGGCTTCATCTGCCGTATAGCATAAAAAGCTTCGTTCAGATTTGCACATACATGATTGATTTGTTTTGCCCAATTTAGGTTGGCGTCAAGATGAATACCCAGGAATTTAACTTCTGTGGACGTGTGCAAGTTTTCAATGTCGATAACGTTGTGGGGTCGCCATTTCCTGTAAAATTTTACAGCCACCGACTTCGAGGTGTTAATGATTAGTTTGTTTCTCTGACACCAGGAGCTGAAATCATCGATCACGGTCTTCATGTTGGAAGCAAGTTGTTCAAGGATTTGATCCAATTCATGATGTTAGATGAGAAATTACATTGTCTTATTTTTTTCAAAAGAAATTCTACGAACATATTGCCGGGACTACTTCAGAATGTACCATTAGAAATTCGTATCCGCATGTGGTTTATGCATGATGGGGCTCCGGCTCATTTTAGCGTTGTAGTCAGGGAATTCCTCAACACAGTCTATCCAAATCGATGGATCGGTAGGGGTGTAGAAGAACCTAACCAGGCGTGGGCACCAAGGTCCCCAGATCCAAACCCGATAGATTTTTATTTTTGGGAACATTTGAAGTCACTAGATCATAAGACTCAAATAGTGAACGAGGAAGATCTAAGAAACCGAATAGTAGACGCCTGTGAAACAATAAGAAACACACCAATAATTTTTGAGCGGGTACGAAATTCAATGACTAGACGACTGTCTGCCTGAAGGTGGACACCCCCAACAAATTATTTGAATACAATTTAGTTTCGTTTATTTTAGTTTATCCTACATATTAAAAATTTCCTGAAATAAAATGTTGACATTTCTTGCAAATTTTATTAAAACATAATACTGATTATGCACCCTTGATACAAAAATAACTATTTCGATTAAGGATGTCATAAAGGAACGTACCCAGTAGTAATGACCTCTTCAAACGAGTAAAACGTCAAATTCATTTCCAAAGCATTCTTGTGAAAAAAGCAAAATATTCGTAATAACTTCAACATGCATCGATTATCAAATAATCGACTTGAAGTTTTTAAGTCCAAATATTTAGAAAACGGTTGGTTACAGCGACTAGTATCAAGGGTAGTTTATTTACGTAGATATGATAGAGGAATCGATTTTTTCACTGAAAAATGTGCTAGAAGTACGCCCAAAAAAGTTATGTATCTTTAAAAAAGAAAAAGACGCGTAGGTGGCGCCCCCTACGAGTAAGAGCAATAAGAACATCAGGTTCGAATTCTACACCTTAAAAACCTCCTATCACCTAGTTTCGTTTAATTAAGTTATTTGAAAAAAACGAAAATAAAAATAAAACTTCAACATCCTTTATCTTGGAAACAAAGCGTTTCCGGACATTTATTCATTTGGAAAATTCATATAAGAATATTGTGAGGAATCACCTCCTGAAGTTTGTCAAAGTACTTTTGAATCACCCTGTTTATTTGAATTTGAGGCTTTGTTTTCTGACTCACTTCTGGATTGTGTCTGCGTTGAAATCATTGTTATGTCCTGTCTGTATATTCATTCAATTTCCCTATCTAGATTCTCAGCAGATAAAAGTAGCGAGATAGCTCTGTGCAACATTGAATTTTTGGCTATGTAATTCAGCAGGGTTGTTGCAGATAACTCTTTCCCTGGTAGGGAGTACATGCAGTACATTTTGGATGGCTCTCCCTGTATAATCATGTAGTATTCTACGTAATTTCAGAAAATTCTCAAATTCCTGGTCTACGTCATCATCTCTTCTGGTAATATTTTTCATCCTTCGCCCCGAACCGATATCGATTGTCTGTTTCAGGTGTCCTGGATAAGGAGCAAAGACTTACATATCCTGACGTCGGGACGCCACACATTTTCGAGCGACACTCGCTTCGAGTCAGTGCACACCGATAGCTCTGGGGATTTTTGGGGATTACGGATACGAGGCGTCCATATATTCGACACGGGCCAGTACGAGTGCCAGGTTAATACTGAGCCGAAGATGAGCTTGGCGATCAACCTAACAGTCACGGGTATGACCTTTATTTATTTTTTTTCACGTTCACAGTGAAGCGAGTCCATATCCGAAATAGTCCAGTCAATGATTTCTTTCCCGTATGTTTTTGCAAAACAGCAACGATGTTCATGAAAATTTTAAGTATTACGCTTGAAAGTTGTCCCTAGGGTTTTCTTTCACCCCTTTTCATGGTTGAAAGTTCGAGAATAGATAAAATGATTCATTCTAAGCATCATTTCTCATTGTATAATTTTTTTTCTGATTGTGTCGACCCCTATTTGATACACTTTTGCGCGAATAATTAAAAAAGAGAGTATTTCATTAAAAAATCGCAATAAGTGAAAAACACACTTTAAACACACTCCAACTCGCGAATAACTCGAAAAATATTGACTTTCAGATTGAACTTCGTGGGAAATAATTTGCTTAGAATGAGTCAGTTTATAAATTCTGGGATGTATTTTCGATAAAACACTTATCACCCCCGTAACCCATGGTAGAGGATAAACGTTGAAATAAACGATATGTGAAACTGAATTCTAGATTTTCTTGTATATCGGTGATATTAGGAAAGATTATATAATATCGCCATATTTCACCCCCAATTATAGCACAAATAATCCAGTCATTTAAGATTAAATTAGGTAAGAATCTCGGAATTCGAGATACCTAGCTGTAAGTCTGTATATACTTGTATATTGACACCCTAAAAGTTGTCTCAAAACCTACATATGGTAGGTATGGTATGGTATCAAATCGAAATAACAAAGATGAGTTCATTAATATGTTAATTGAAAAATTACAAGCTGCAAATATTACTACTAAACAAGCCAGAGATGATGCGGATGTTCTTATTGTTGAAACTGCAATTGAAGAATCAAAGTCTAAAAAAACTGCAGTTATAATAGGACAAGATATTGATTTACTTGTCATTTTAATTGGGCGTACACTGTCTTACGAACAAGAAATTTTCTTCAAAAAAGTTGGGAAAGGTAATGTAAAAACGGAGATATACTCGACTAAAAGTTTTGTTAATTATTCTCTTTCTGAAAAACATATTTTATTTCTGCACGCATTAAGTGGCTACAATATTGATAATAAATACAAATAGCAAAAAACCCATAGGAAATGAGATATTTCCAAAAAAAGCGCAAAAAACCGATTTTTGTAATTTTTGACCTTGAAATTTAATAGTTGCTTACACCCTACCATATGTAGGTTTTGAGACAACTTTTAGGGTATCAATATACAAGTATTTACAGACTTACAGCTGGGTATCTCGAATTCCGAGGTGAACTTACTATAATGACTGGACTAAAAATCCAATCAATTGCGGAAAGGAAAAGAAAACATGGCTCGAACTTTCAAAGTCTTCCAAAGAAATAGCACAAATCAGTTGATTTTCATCAGAAGAAAATCATTCAAGCATATATTCAATAGAAAAAAATAGAAGTTTCGAAATAGATGAACACTTCAATCTAGCAGACCACTATTATAATCTTCATGCAGTCATTGTTCACTGTGGTTCTGGCGTTGAATCCCATCATTATTACGCCTTGGTCAAAGACGGAACAGACTGGTTTGAGTTTGACGAGTGTCGTAACACTGAGTATTCTGGCGATGTCTTGAATTTATTGCAGCTTTCGTTCAGAAACTGAACTATTATATTTGTTATTCTCGATGAGCATGTTGGTTTTGTAAGCAATATTTACACCTTTGTGTGGAAAATTTGAAATGTTCGTAGTGGGTTGGCCTAGTAGGTTGAGGCTCTATACCTTTCATCCTCTTATCTTCGACTTGGGTAAACTTCCTTCAAAGCTTGGCTGTATAACTTTCCAGATAATAGAGAATGTATTAGACTGCTGTCATAATAATTGTTGACGGATATTTGTTTTATTATGTTCAGTTCTTTATTGAAATTCTCATCTAACAAAGGAACAATTATCAGTCTGTGGATAATACTGTTGAATGCTCCTACTTTGTGCTGATATGGGTGGGTGAACGAATTATGAATGATAATGTAGTATGTGCTGGTTAACGTGCTGGTTAACAAAATCATGTTTATTGTAATTGATTTCATTTCAAACCATGCATTCAGCCATTATGAATAAGATATTTCTTGGTAGACGAATCGGTCCAAAAGGACCAGTAAAGTAGCTATATAGTTCAACTGATTTCGTTCAGTTATTTCTGTTGCTATGTTGAGTCAAAAACTACACTTGAAAAAAAAATACTTGAAACATATTCTCGTACTCAATGTTATGAATTGCATTTTGATAAAGTGGGTATTCTCAACAGGTTCACACCCGAAACTGTCCGATACTTTATCAAATAACTCAGACATAATAATATATAATATTTTTATTGATCCATTAGAATGAGCCTGAAAGAAGCAATTGGACAAGTCAGTATATCAGATACATATAAAAAATACAACTATGAATCAGAACCATTCATATAACAAGAGTAATTGAAACAACTGAACAGAGCAGCAAAAATAAAAAAGTATTCAAAACATTTTTACTAATGTAGATAAGAAAAAACTCGATTGTATGGGGGCTAATTTCAAGAAATAGTTGTTTTATTTTATGTTTGCATACTTGTTCCTCGGTTATAATTTTGAAAAACTCCGGAAGTGCATTATATAATATCAGCTCCAAAATCTCAAATGCGTTCAGACGTAAAGATATACGTGTTTTGGGTATGTGAGAATATGTTTTGATGTGGGTATTATATTCATGGACAGATTTTGTTTGAAAAAAATCCTTATTTCGATATATACATTACAAATGTTGACGAAATTTTCAATGAATTCTTTCTAGGATCCATATCCTTATTCGACAGTTTGAATAAAACCATGATTGCAGTGCAGTTTTTTCTATCTGCTAAGGCCTCTGATTTTGATGTGTTCAGTGAAATATTCTGATATGTGTCCCTAGCTGGATAGAAGTCAATGCATGAAAAAAAAAAAAAGAAATTCAAGCACTTAGCTGAACAGATTCTAATCGCTGAAAGAAATTTTGATATAATGGAGAATATGCATATCCTTCTTTATTTCTTCTGAAAGGAACATGCAACAATTTGAGCGTATTTGAAAAAATTTCCCAGTTCCTGAAGAAATATCCGAATAGTTTCATCGCCAACGATACGTGTCACAGTTTTTGATAGTCATATTATCGATCTACAGAAGGACATGCCTTCAAAATGAGAACATGTTATCCTTTCTGATATCTCATTTATAAAGAGCAAGAATCAGAGTGGCCACAAATTAGACCCCCGAGGTATGCCTAAAGTGGACATGTAGCACCTCCCTATTCGACAAACTAAAATTAATTTGATAGTTCGAGCACTCCTGGAAAACCGGACGATGGAAACGGAGGAGTATGCAATATGACAAAAAGTGTTTTGGTTAGACTAAGCATATTTTATAACTTGTTGCTGAACGCATGTTTCAGTTACTCAATTTCCTTGACTAGAGGAATCTGTCAGGAGAGATACTTAACATTTCTGAAAAAATTGCCACAGACGAAAGAATGACAAATGTTTGAAACTGTTGAAACTTCAAGAAAACGAGCTATGAACATCTTTGAATATCGACCAGGGTACAATTCCAGGCAATTCTTCGTTGCTCTTCCAAAAAATCGTTATAAGCAGAAACTAGGCAACTCATAGGTATCATTGATGAGTTGACGTCAACATAACGATTAGGAATAGATACAAGGTAATCTGTTCCGAGACATCATTTGACCGTTATCATCAAATTAGTAGTTCATCTAGATGAAAATTAAATGTTACAATTCAGTGCCAAGAATTTAGTTTCAGTCATCTCCTGTGGAACGTAAATCACGATCCCCTTATTGGTGTATACTATCTGAGTATTCATTTATGAACAGTCATGAAAACTTTTTCCTTTCGAGAATATTCATTACAACTACTATTATAAATAGTTAAATGTTCATCTCTCCCCATTATTATATTCCAATGAAATTAGGTTATTAAATAATGCTCTACTGAAATGCAGTAAATCAATTACTAAATCATTCATTAATTTGAATATATAGTTTTATAGTTTCATGGCCATTCGAACGGGGAAAATATATTTTTAATGACTTCATTGAAATCGAGATTATTATGCTGCAAATGTTTTGAAATGTATGCTCGTTATAACATTACATTTCTCAAATCATGAAAAAATATCGATGTGCACATACTCTCGAATCAGCTTGGAAAAATTTCATAATTGGTGTTTCGATATATGAAACGAAAACCAAAAAAAAGGAACGAACATTGCCAGATCAGTGGATAATGAATCAAACAAAAGGAATACTTTTTTTCTCAACTGGTACACGAAATCAACTGATAAGTGATCATTTCATCGGTTTGGACTTGCCTAATATAATATAAATTGATTTGAAATCCCTAAAAAAAAATAAAAACATTAACTGAAAATAACAATTTTCATCAAACAAAAAACTGAAATTACAAGAAAATAACACACAAGCAATAACCAAAAAATAAAGAATTGAAATAATAATAAACGCTGAAAATTAAAAAAAAAACTGAGGATACACTACAAAAATACACTTTTGATTATTTTCCATGATTTTTTTTTATTGTTGACTAGTTTCGGCTATTACACCATCAAAACTAACTGACAAAACAAAGCTTTTGATATAATGTAGCTTTCAAGAACTGGATTATAGATTCAGGAGGTGACTATTATTTAGATCATGCTGTTCGTTGAAGACAATAGAATTGGGTTTTTTTTTGACTTGTTTATCTCCATAGATTCCAACAGATTCATCATTTTTCCTTTTTCGCATGTGTGAAGGATCTTTAAATTATCTTTATCTATTTTATGTTTCCAATTTTGAAGATGTTCGTGCATTAATAATTTTTTATCCGAACTGACATGTTCATGATACCTTGTATCAAAATTTCAACCAGTTTGGCCTATATATATATGACGGGGCATTCACCACATTCTAGTCGATATATACCAGATCTCTTCCCTTTATCCAATTTAGGTTTGGTATTGAATAATCTGTTTTCTAAATTTCCGTTGGATGTGAAGGATGTTTGTAGATTCAATAATTTTCAATATTATCGGAGATTCTACAGGCATAATTGATACTAACATATTTGTGTTCTGGTCTTGTATAAATTGAATATAGTTCTTTCATTATTGATTTTTGTTGATATTTCATTATAATGCTGTTAACTAGAGTGGTAGGTATTTTGTTATTAACTGATATTTGTTCAATGATTGCGATTTCATTTCTGAGGTTTTATCAGAAAGGGGTATTGTGAAAGCCCTATTTATCATTGACCTGAATGCAGAGAATTTCTGTGGAGTCAAAAGGTATTGTGCAATCTGTGAATGTGTTTTTTCTGTTTCTGTTTCTGTGTCGAGTTTATCATTGTTTTTGGATATTGTCAGATCTATCTATCTCATTGTTCTCTTCTGTCTCTACGGTGAATTTGATATGAGATATTTGTCTAGTTGAACCATCGAAGCCTAATAATATGCCATCTACATATCTAAACCAGAATACAATATGTTCATGGGAAAGAGAGTTATTCAAAATTAGATTATTCTCTAAATTGTTTAGGAAGATATCAGCTAGTAACAGACTTATCGGTGATTCCATCGGTAGGCATGAATTTTGTATATAAAATGTAACAACATCTAATGTTAGTTAACAACATTATAATGAAATATCAACAGAAATCAATAATGAAAGAACTATATTCAATTTCCACAAGATCAGAACACACATATGTTAGTATCAATTATGCCGGTAGAATCTCCGAGAATATTAAAAATTAAATCTCTCAAAATTCAATCTACAAATATCCTTCACATCCAACGGAAATTTAGGAAACATATTATTCAATGCCAAACCTAACTTAGACAAAGGGAAGAGATCTGGAATATATCGACTAGAATGCAGTGAATGCCCGTCATATATACAGGCCAAACTGGTAGAAATTTTGATACAAGGTACCATGAACATGTCATCAATGTACGAACATCTTCAAAATTCGAAACATAAATTAGATAAAAATAATTAAAATATCCTTCACACATGCAAAAAAGGGAAAATAATGATACTGTTGGAATCTATGAAAATAAACAAGTCAAAGAAAAATCCCAATTCAATTGTCCTCTACGAACAACTTGATTCAAATAATAGTCCTCTCCTGAATCTATAATCCAGTTCCCTCAACCTACATTATATCAAAAGCTTTGTTTTGTTATGTTCATGGATATTACAGGTATACAAAATGTAGCTACCAAATTATTTATGATAAGATAAGCAACTTATGTATAAATAACTCAGATTTAAATGTAATCAGTTAGTTTTGAAATTGGTGTGATAGCCGAAACTAATCAACAATAAAGAAATATCGTGGAAAATAGACAAAAGTGTTTTTTTGTAGTGTATCCTCAGTGAACATGAATTTCCACAAAATAAGCAAGTCATCAATCAAAGAAGTAAAAACAGAAATTAAAAATATCATTAACAAAAAATGAAAAAAATAAAATTAAAATTGAAAGATTCAAACCAAGTTATGTCACGACGTTTCGATTGTCAGTATCCACAATCGTCTTCGGGTCGATACTAACAATCGAAACGTCGTGACATAACTTGGTTTGAATATTTCAAATTTTATTATGTTTTTATTTGTTTCATTTTTTGGTAATCATTTTTTAAATTTTTTCTATTTTTAGCTTTTATCAATATTTCTATTTTTTATTTTTTTGGTTATTGCTTGTTATTTCTTGTGATTTTAGTTTTTTGTTTAATAAAAAATTGTTATTTTCGGGTAATCTTTTTAATTTTTTTTTCAGGGATTTCAAATCAATTTATATTATATCAGACAATGGATGTCCGAACTGATGAAATACACCACGAAACGTTGTCAACTACCTTCAAACAAATGATAAGTGATTACTTTTACAGATACCACTCATAGAGAATGGTTTATCACGTAACGCAGACAATAGTTGATCTATCAAAAAGTAAAAATATTGAATTTAATTCGAAATGATTACCTACTTATCTATGAAAATGATATATTGAAAATAAAAAATCACTATTCCGGACGACATCTTTGTCAGCTTTGATGTCATCACTTTATTCACCGAGGTATCAATCAGAGATGCACCAGGAATATTAAAAAAATATAAACCAGAAGAACATATCATCACCTTGGCTGATCCTTGCATTGAAAACACGTGGGTATTATATCTATAACGATCAATGTCAATCAAAGGTCACCAATGGGCTCGCCCATTACTGCCAATCTCTTCATGGAAGAAAATGGAATCAAAGCAGTAGCAACGTCAGACTTGAAACCAACACTCTGGCTAAGATATGACGATGACATTTCCGTGACTTGGTCACATGGGCACCAACGACGTGTATGGAATCCATCCACGGAACAAATTCACGGAAGAAGTTGAAGAAGGTAACCAGCTTCCATTTTTTGATATACCACGCCGTATATCGTAACGCAACCCACACCAATTGATACCTGAACACGCCCAAAAAAAATGCACTTGATGGCAAAAGAACTAATTATATGCTGAAGGAGACTGGCAGACAAATAATACAGACATCCATCAAGGCAAATATACCAATGAATACTGCTCAGAAAAATTATGAAAGTGCCTTCCAAGATCACACAGAAACAGTAGAAAACCATAGATACACGGGTCATGATAACCATACTACCATATATTGAAGGAATCACAGGCAAAATCAGCAGAATTCTTCGCTAACACAACATAGCAACTTAATTCGTACCAGAATATACAATAAGGTCCATACTCCATAATCCAGAGGATCAGATACCACCGGAGTCCCAAGAAGTTTATGAAGTACCATTTCGAGACTGTGACAAGACTAACATCGGCCAAACCAACAGCCGAATCTACATACGCAAGAATGAACACAAATTATAAGTGAAGAAAAAAGTCACCACGCCTTCTCTCTTTCAACACGTATTGTCTATGGAACAATTTCGAGAATACAAAAACCCTTGCAAGCAATGAAAACTCCAATGAAAACTCTCGAACAATCAGAGAGGCTAGATATTGAAAAACGATCTAGTAGTATAATCAAGAGGGATGATGCACATAGAGTATCAGCAACATGGAGATCCATCTTATCACTACACAAAATCAAACAGACCGCCCATGTATTGATGAAGGCTCTATGGGATCCTTGAAGTCTGAATGTGGTTAGCTATATTATTAGTTTTCCTATATGAATTGATGATGAGGAAATACATGGGAACTTTTTGCTTTCAATGAATCTGAGAAAATTAAAAAACTCAAGTCAACATGGTTCTTGCTGATATTAATTGATGAAAATGACGTGAAATTAGTTAACTGAAAGCAGTTTTTCTACATCATACTAAATTGACTGACTTTAGGTAACCAAGTTAGCATCAATAGATGTCCAAGAAGTAAATCTTGAGGCTACGTTGAAGCATGAATTCATCATCTGCGCCTGTGTGAGTCATAGGCGGTAAGGAAATCAACAGACTCTATCATATCCTTTTTTCTTTCGGAAAGTTTAACTAATCTGTGTTTGAGAAAATCGAAAAGTGTCGAGTAGGATCTATGGATAGCAAAAAAGATGTCATTCTACACATCCTGTTGTTTACTCTCTGATGTGATCATCACAGGAAGATCACAGGTAAAGATGAAGTAAAGATTTAGTCGCCAATATTTAGTATTCAACTCCTGATGATGCGTATTTGAATAGCGAAACGCGCGTTATGAAACAATATTTTGGTTCTGGTATGGAAGAAATATTTTCAGCAGATCCCCGAGTACTTCATTAAGATTCAATTTGAGTTCAGCATATATCCATTTCTATATCCCGGTATACCATTCCGTATTATTATTGTCTTTCTTCGCACTCACTTATTCCGATCATGACTGTTCAATTCAGTTTCAGGTGACCACAACTTAGCTATTTCTAATTCGAAATGGGTCAGCCAAGCCCTAATAAAAGGTCCAAGCACAGTTTACGTCCAGAATGGGTCCCCGGTGACTTTCTCGTGTGAAATATCGCCTCTATCTCTGCAATCTGGAGTTCACGGACTTTTCTTCGCCACAAAACCAGTGGTTCGTTGGCTGCATGATGGAAAAGAAGTTTCTTTCGAGGTGAGTGCCGTTCGGCTTATTTTTATTTTCCCGTTGCAGGTTTTTCTTTTGGTCTTGAAGTGTAACAATAGTTCTTTGTGAGACGCGGGAATGAAATGAATGTGGGAATGTTCTGGGAACGACGAATAACTTTATCCAGATGTTGAGTTTTTTAATAGCTCTCCGAATAGTTGTGGAATTTTTCAATAGAAAGGCATTCAAGTAGCGCTTCAAATTCGTGAAATAATATTGAATCGATGTGAATTTCGAACTCAGGGTGTTCCGTTCAGGACAGAAATGAGATGCTTTATTCAAATAGGATACATCCTAATATATACAACAATGATAGTAATGTTAACATTAATATACATATAAATACAATAATACAAAAAAGATCTACTTATATTTGTTAATAAGTAGTCTTACCTACGATAATTGAAAATACAAAAAAAAAGAATAAAAGATAAAAAATATCACATAATACCTAAATGGTCTAATACATTTCTTTTGAACAGAATAAGACTGTTAGAAAACTTTACATTTTCAGGTAGACTGTTATACTCAGTAAATCCTTTGAACATTAATGTTTTAGTTTGAATGTTTTTGTTTGATAATTAACATACAAATTATTTTTTATTCCAGTATTATACTGGTGGATTTGATTATTAAAAATCACAAATTTGTAAAAGGTTATGTAGGTACAAGGTTATGTAACATTTTGTAAATATGAATCATCATTAAATATGTAAGCCTACTTTCTGTAGATAACCATTCTAGAGTATTTAACATTAAAGATATATGGGTGTACTCCTGTCACATCTCAAAATAATCCTCATTGCGCGTTTCTGTAGTTTTTGTAGTGTTCTCATTTTGTTCAAATCACTTGTGTATAGAAGAGTGGGACAATATTCAAAATGTGGTTGTATAATTGTCTTATATACAGTTATCCGTGATTGCATAGTTAAGTGTTGGGATACTCTTGTGAAAAAATATAATTTCTTCTAAATTTTTTTCTGTATGTAGGTGAAATAGTTATTCATTGATGGATGATTGTGTAACATGAATCGTAGATATTTGAATTCAGTAATGAGCTCAATTTTATCATTTTATATTTTTATTTCAATTTGATTCAAATCTAATTCTCTGTATTTAAACGGTGTAGTAAGTATCATAGCCTTTGTTTTGTTTACATTCACCTTTAATTTATTAGTTTTTAATTATATAGCAATATTGTGCAATGCTTCATTCATTTTTTTAATAGCTTCATCTATATCTTTGTCACTAACCGATACTAGGGCATCATCAGCGAAATAATGTTCATATTCACATTCATTACATTTGCTGATATCATTAATGTAAATTCAGAATAGTAATGGCCCCAAAATACTTCCTTGCGGAACCCCGCGGTCTATGCTTATTGCTGTTGATACAAATTGATTGATTTTGGTTACCTGCTTTCTTTCTGTGAGGTAATCACTGATCCAATCAAGTACTTTTCCTTTAATGCCATATTTTTTCAATTTTTCAATTAATATTTCACGATTAACCGTTTCAAACGAACGTTTGGTATGATTTTTCATTGAAAAATAGAGATGAATAAATTGACCACTGAAAGAAAATCTTTCCACTATTATGGCAAAGGCAAATAATGGAAAGTCGATAATTTTTTCAATCGACAAGGAAGATTTTGAAAGAGATTACTAGAGCAAGATGCAGACATCTATTCTTCTATCCTGCTACAGACAGTAATAAAAAAATACTCTTTGTTTGTGTAGATCGGTCCAGGGCTCTCGATACTGTGGAGTAATCAGATTTCTGCAAGAAATCATAAACAATAAAGTTGAATGAAATCAATGCAGAGTAGAAATCGAAAATATATTTCAAATAATGAAGGTGGAAACATGGCGTATGAAACCATTTGAGTTGAGCATGCACATTTAAATAACAACAAGAGTTTGGTGTCAGATGACTCAGGAGGAGTTTATGAATTGTCTTGTGATTCATGTACGATGTTTTACATAGATAAAACTGAAAAATGATTCAAAGTTCACATTAGAGAACATGAAGATATTTCACAGAATATAAGTACCTACTCATCTCCCTACAGAGGAACATGAGTAAAATTAAAATGAATAGAGGTTACAATGAAATGAAATGAAATACAAGCAACTATTGAAAATTGGACAAAAAAATTATGATGATGACTGCGCTAGTCATCACCAGAAGACGATTTTGAATACTTACAATCGAATTGTCTCTAAGTAACTTGGTTTTAAATCTTCCAATTTCCATTTCCATTTGTTACTGTTCAATTTTCAAATGTTCCTTGTATTCATTTCATTTAATTCTATTGAAATTCCATTCCTGGGTTTTTGTGCTCAATATAACCATCATTTTCAGCTGATCTTTAAAATTTTATTGATTCTTTTAGCGTTTTTAAATCCTTTCATATCATATTAGACAAACAACTGATAGCAGAAAAACCTGCAGAAAATTAAACTAATTATGTTTGATTTATATGCCATTCAACATATTATTATGTTTAGTTTTGAGTTTTGTGTATATGTATTTTAGTATTTTTCAAGTACAGATAATGAAATTGTGAAACAACAAAAATCAATTGGCGCTCCGGGGCGACTTCATTGATTCCAGTGCCGCATTTGCTTTTTCAGCTGCAGGAAAACCCGGAAAAACCTGCAGTACCACATCATCTGAAGATCTCGATCTACCAATGTCCTCTCTTTCATAAAACAAAATGTAGCATGTCTCCAGAGGCTCCAATAAAGTCAAAACATTGCCATAACACTTCGTGACACGACTATCATCAAACTTAACCAGTCCGTTTCGTCTCTGACCAAGGCGTAATAGTGACCAGATTCAACGCCAGAACCAAAGTGAACAATGACTGCATGAATATCATGATAGTGGTCTGCTAGATTGGAGTGTACATCTATTTAGAACTTTCGTAAGACTTTGGTGCATCCGTCAGAGGTTGAGTCATGTTTGAAGATCATCAGTGTCATTATTAGATTGACAAGCTCTACTTGTTTTTTTGTAATAGTGAGTTAGTTTGGCCCTTGTTTGGCAGTACATTTGATCATCACCCGCTACAAGATCAATTTTCAGGTGATTTGATAATAAGCCTTGCACGGACTGGTTATCAGTCATATTAGGAAACGCTAATTGAAATTTCAGAAAATCACATAAGTTTTTGCTACCTCTTGAACATTTACTACAAAGTAAACAAGTGAGGATTTTTCCAGCGAAAAATCATTCATTCATTCTTTTCAATAACTCTTCCTTTCAAAAAGTCCATTCAGGACTTCATGGTTAAAACACTACATGATTATTCCATAGAGTATTGAATCATATCTGAAATTACACGACAGATATCGAAAGACGTTTGACATCTGTCTGAGGAATTGAGAATTGAAAATAATCAGCCAAGGAAGAGCAGCGTATACACTCAAATGTTGCATTTCTGAAGACGGGGGCAGATTTTGGCCCCCAAAAGATAAGTATTGTTTTTTGAGAAATAAAGTTTTTAGCTTTCTACTACTCCATCTTGATACAAAAAAGAATGAGAGAATCTTTCAAAGAAAGGAAGGAAGTAATCAAATTGAAGATAAGTAACTCTATACATGGATGAGTAGATCATGCAAAGAAGTAACTTTCAGACACAAACTGAAAGAAAGTCCTCCTGAAACAGCTACTTTCATGTAAACATTACACGAAAGAAAAAATTTTTTTTGAAACAAATACTTATATATAAACACTGAATTATACAGAAGATACTTTTCTCTACTCAGTTTGTATTTCAAACATTCGTTGTGGAATAAAAATCAGATATCATACACATTAGTTCTACTTTAAATGAATGGTAACAAATTGAACTTACATGGAACACTGTCATCCTCACTGGTATACATCGATGTTTCGCCTTAAGACACTTGCCCTAAGGCTCTTCAGCACCGAATTGGATAACATTATAGAAAATACACACAATTCATTCATTTCTCTTGATGAAGTCAATAGAGGATTTTCTCAACGATATCATCAAATAGAAACTTTACTAAGGTTTCGAGAAAAAAATACCTTATTAGAGTTTTTTATGTCACGGAACAAGCTTGATCTGCTTATGTCATCGATGACATCGTGAAAATTTTCATGGAGTAGTAGAAAGCCATAAACTTCTTTGCATGATCTACACATCCATGTATAGAGGTACTTATTTTCAAATTAATTACTTCCTTTCTTTCTTTGGAAGATTCCCTCACTTTTTTTTTGTATCAAGATGGCGTAGTAGGAAGCCAAAAACTTCCTTTCCCAAAAATTAATCACTCCTAAAAATATAACCCCTTCAATTCAAATCAGATTCCTCTTGGCTGGGATTAAATCAAATAGGTGAATGAATATCATTACGATGTCATCTATGACATAAGCAGATCAAGCTTATTCCGTGACATTAGAAATCGTAATTCATGAATGAATTGTGTGTATCTTCTATAATTTCATCCAATTAGGTACTAAAGAGCCTTGGGGCAAGTGTCTTAAGGCGAAACATCGATGTATACCAGTGAGGATGACGGTGTTCCATGTAAGTGCAATTTGTTACCATTCATTCATAATAGAACTCATGTGAATGATATAATAATAATAAATGCTTTTATTGAAAGGTTACTCAGTATAAAGGATACTAATCTAACCTAACAAATGGCAGAATTCAACGTCTGCGCATGACGAATCAAGGCAGAAATTGCTCTTCCATTCAACCAGCTTATTTTCAAATTGATTACTTTCTTCCTTTCTTTGGAAGATTCCCTCATCCTTTTGTTGTATCGAAATGGAGTAGTAGAAAGCCAAAAACTTTCTTTCCCAATGATTAATCATTCCTTAAAATATAACCCCTTCAATTCAGATAAGTATTGTATAATTTCTTGTTTTTTTTGAAAGGCATAATTATTGAATATGACAAGTTATAAATTATTTTTCCTGTGAGAAATACTTTGAATTCAAGCAGTAACTTATTGTGAGGTGGAAAATTTGCACTTTCTACACTTGTATGAAGTTCTGCGATAATCATTATTTGTGAAATTGAATATCCTAATTTCGCAAACAACAACATAGTTATTTCATGAACTTTCGGAGCCCCATTCGGGATATGAACAAGAAAACATTATATTTCAACAAACATATCATATCCAATTGTTTTCGGATTATTCATCCTGTTTCCAATGCTAAAATCCTCAATTCCGTTTTCTCTCCATGTCTGCAACCCTGCAAATACATATATATTCTAATTCCGCTTTCTCCAATTCCAGTTCTCAAAGGAAACTGCAGCCGTCGAGACGGAATACAGGAATAAGGATCAAAGGATATTAAGCAAAATTCATCTTTCATCGGTATCGTGGAAAGACAGCGGACAATATACCTGTATGCAGCCGTCAGTGAAACCAGACAGCGTTAAGCTTATTGTAGTCGAAGGTATTGTATACTGCCTCAAAATTATTGTATTGATTTGTTTGAGTAGGGATATTGAGAGGAAGCCTCATCGAATTCTTTAATATCTATATCGAGGAAACGAATCAATAAGGCTCTAATGCGTTTCTTTAATAACGACACGTTTGTTTTGGGTGCTTTCCCAAGCGAAAAAACTGAATAATAAAGGAGAGTGGAATTCAAAAGGATCGAGTGAATTGTTTTTGAGTTCATTCAAAACGTTCCAAACATTGTTACAGATCGGTTTCAACAAGTTCAACATAAAAGCTTCTTCTTCCTTTTTTTAATGGTATTTGCTTACCTTACGGCCCAGTTCATGGCTCGATGGTTCATCATAACCATCGAGCTGTTTCTTCTTCTCATTTTGATATTTTTTTTTTTCAATTCAGGTACATTTCGTTCAATATGATTCCTCCAGTGATAGTTTCAGTTAGGCAACTTAATGCCTGTCTTCTGAAAAGTACTATTTGAAGAATCATATTCCTATTCTAACAATATATCGTGGAGCAGAGATAAGCTAAGTGTTACATAAAATGTGTCCAATTTACTTGTTTTATACACATCTTGGGCTGTCATAATATTTGGATATGAGAAGAGTGGAACAATTGATAGAATAATGTTCCTGTTTGAAACAGGCGTATAGTTCTCAACCTATGGTTGTTTTGTGAGCGTTAGTAATTATTGTGAGAGTATTGTTTACTTAGAATCTATTGAAAATGTTTTAATTTTCCATTGAAAAATGTTTTACTTTTTTTTTAATCTTATGGCACTTTTTAGTTCTTTTATATTATTTGGGAGAAGGTTATATAAATAACATTCAAACTGAATCCGCGGTTGCAACTACTCCCCAAATTTGTCTAAAAATAAGAATTTTTTGTAATTATCCAACATTACCATTTTCTAAATCTGATTTTTTTCAAATTCTATTCCAGGTGAACATTCCGAAGCCATGCAAAGCGACTTTCCTGTCCAACTTACCAGTAGCAGCCATGTAAACCGAGCATCTTGGTTTATCTTGATAGTGATAATACTGAATTCATTGTAATTATTTCAGAATATACATATTTTTACAACCCTGTATTTTTATTCAATTCGTTTCTTACATAGTGACTCTAGGTTCATACAATAAAAAACGATAATAATAATAATAATAGTCTTAGTCTACCGCAGTCGCGTGATGGGTATAGAGGTTCCTGACACAAGGTGCAGGGCCTGCCGCGAGGCGCCCGAAACCGTAATGCACTTGCTATCAGCATGTCCAGCATATGCGGTCTCGGCCTATATCCATCGACATAACGCGGCCCTGAGAGTGCTATATTACCATCTACGGCACTCTTACGGTATTGACGAGACACCGGTGTTGCCCTACGCTCCGGGGGATATTGAATCCGCTGTGGGGAACGAGAAGTGCCGAATTTATTGGAATTATTCATTTCCCACCCTCAAGCTCATACAAGCTAATAAGCCTGATGTAGTCCTTCTCGACCACCAGACCAAAACGATATTTGTCGTGGAGTTTTCAGCTCCTGGCGAGACGAATATCGCCAGAAAAGAGGAGGAAAAACGGATAAAATATCGAGATTTTCTCATCGAACTCCGCAGACTCTATCCTGATCACTCTGTCAAGATGGTTGTTCTGATTATTGGAGTCCTTGGTGGAATGATGTCCTTTCTACTCTCGAATCTTAAAATCATACCGGCTTACCACACTAAGGCAGAAATCTTAGCCGTACAGATGCAGAAGGCTGTCATTATTGGCTCACTGCGCTTGCTCAGGGCACATGATCCTCGGACCCAATGATCACTTACCCCACGGTGTGGGGAGTGGTCATTGGTTTATAATACTGGCGCGCCCTCCCGAATGTATCGGAGCTTCGGGGGATAGGGTCTGAGCAGAGCACACTACAGTGAAAAAAAAAAATAACTCGACTTTAAAGTTGAATAATGAGACTTATGGCGGAGTCTATCTGAGGCTATTCTACTTAACAATCAGAGGGGCTTTCGCCCCAATAGAGATTTGACTGCTTCATCATCAGAGAGATTACATAAATATGAAAATATGAAAGTTTATATGATTTGACGAATACAATTATTTCAGTAATTAAGAGTGCATACCTATGAGAAATGTTTGAAAGAGAAGCAACATTTTATATTATGCAATGTGTTGATTGGTGTCGGAGTTTATCCTGTTGATTTTCATTATTTGAATTCTTCAATATTATACAGTTTGAACCCTTCTCATGACACATTGTACATACGCATTGCATCAAAGAACAATTACCTATGAAAAATGTCTGTTCTATGCTGAGGGATGGCGAATGTAGACTTGTTTCTGACATTTGTTGAATGCATTTGAGATTTAGGGGTGAAACAATGTATCAGGCCTGGTAGGTCAGCATAATTTAAAATGTTTTTGAAATAGATTTTAAAAACAGATTTGAAAAACAGTTTATGAGAAATGATTTCATATTACCCCATCCCAACAACTGTTTTGTAAATTTCAAACTCATATTTCATGAACAATTGTTAAGCGTGGACAGCAACTAAAGTTACAATAATTGTCGTTTCTCCAAACAAGTGACTCACATAGGGTACGTTTCAATTTAAAATTGGAAATATACCGATTACTCCAGTCTAAGTGATATACGAGAATCTATGATGAGTCCTGAACTTTCAGCTGAGTTACTCATAGGGGTTTGTTGTTGTTGAATTTCATAGCTGAATCCGAGCTCTCCATACTGAAATTCAGATACAACTGTGTATCATCTGCATAAGCATGCACGTCACAACATGCCACCTCATTCAAAATATATGTAGTGTATATAGTGAAAAACCATGGGTCTAAAATGAACCCCTGAGGAACTCCTGAGAATACATCTGGAGTAGATGAATATTGTCCAAATACCAACATTCTTTGGCGTCGTTTTATTAAATAATTTCAAATCAAAAATGTTGATTGAAGATTGAGTCCGTAATACCTTAATTCGGCATAAAGTAATTCCTTACCGATCGTGTTGATTGCTTTGGAGAAGTTGAGTAATACTGAAGCAGTTTATGAATTCTGTTTATTCTGTTTCAGTACTTCAATCAGGTCTAAAGCCACATCGACAATGGATGTATATAGTTTTAGTAGCTTTCTACATCATTTCACCTTCTTCTGAAATGTGTCATCATTGGCAACTGATATAGTAGCCAGTACAGTTACATGTAATCACTCTTATAGATTTATTTTTGTGTAGCAATTCTCCATATTGGGATGGATTTTTCTGTTGTCGGTTTTGGTACATTAGTGTCTCTCTACTTAGAGCAACGAATCAATAACACATGCATCATCAGTTTTTGATATGATAAAACACATTTTTCCGAAGTGAAAAACGAAAACAAAACAGTTTGTGTTCCATCAGAGAGATAGGGACAGAGAGAGAGGGAGACAAAGAAAGCTCTTGTTTGGATGATATACCACTGACAAAACTGTCACCTTGTGTGCAAGACTGGCGACATTTGCGCTTCTAGAAAGGGTTTTACAGGAAAGAGAATATTTGTCGAGAACCCTTTGCGAGAGAGTTTTGGTAGTGGACCTACTCGAACGTTTCTTGTAACTGAAAACGGCAAAAAATACTAGATGGACTATTTCTTCTGATGGCATAACATTGTCCTTGTTATAAACCAAGTGCTAGCAGAGGCGTTCCTCAACAATGTGGTTGTCAGGAATTGAGCTGCATTCGAATGAAAGACGAAATTTTGAGTCAGGACTGTAGCAGGAATTAATGTAATCACTCCAAGTTCAAAAACCGGTACGACCCCACTTCACCCAAATCCAGATGGATGAAAAGATTGTTCATCTTTCGACGGAGGAAATAGGGGCCTCCTTCGACAGAGTGTCGGTGCCTTCTATATCTGGAGGGGTCGTCTACAACATAATCCATAGCTTCCCTAACTAACAGGACACTTGTCTAAATTCACAGATGAGCCTGTATTTGTTGTTCAAGAAGATGAAAGCCTTGGTCAGTTGTATCCAGCTAACACCAAGGAGTAAAGCACTGATAGCTCACATTGAAAGACTTGTCCTTCATGTTGGTAATGATCCTCCCAGATGTTTGAACTGGAGGCGAATAATGATACTACAAATAATATAATGATGATCGCCTTCATTTCTCACATAATTTGTACAAATCGTATTTGATACCATGAGATAATAAACATGAGAAAAGAGCGAAGTTCACTTCATTTGGAGACTAGGCCTCCGCTGAAATGTTCTTCCAAGTGACGAGTTGCCTGAAATGGATAAGTTGAAAAGAAGGACAATGCGATGTCGCGCACCGTGGCGGTCACCTACGCCACTAACGTCAGCAGGCGCACTGCCGCACGGAAATTTCCAGAAATCCTGAATGTGAAGACTAGAACTTCATAGAACACTATACAGGGTGTTTCAAATTTGATCCTCACCATTGGGATCTCGGAAACTATGAGAGATACGGAGATGGTTAAATTGAACTGAAATTCCGAGTATATCCAGCTTCATTTTGTCACTTTTTCCCTGTTTCGTGATGGTGTTTCCAGATTTGCTATCCGACGTTTCGTCTTTCGGCTACCATCATCAACTTTTTTTTTATGTCTACATTGGATTCTTTCTGTTTTGAATAGATCCAGATTTCACTTTTTCAATGATGTATCATAAGTTTTCATTCTTTTCCGATTGAAACAAAATAATTTTTATTATAATAGGCTTTGACTTTGATGTTTTCATTTTGATTTTCAATATTGACATTTTGTTATTGTTCGAGTCATTGACTTTAGCATGTGAATTTTCGCTACTTTATTTTGTAAATAAATAAAAAAGTTTTAGAGCAACATGGATTTCACTCCGTGGTGACCTACCCTCAGCGAATGTGAAAATAACAAACATAGGTATGTAAAGTTGGTTGTCTAACCTCATCCATAGAAACCATATAAAAATCCTGTTGCTAATCTAGAATGTTTTGGTTATGGATAAGTTTCACAAGGAGTGTGTTCGAGTTGGTATTTTCTGTTTAATTTTAATTGTCAGCTGTTTGATGATATTTTGACTGTCAACTGTTTCATTTTACGTCAGTGTAGCCAATTTAGCTTTAGGGGTTGTCTGACCAGATACAACCAAACATACTATTACTTCATTCTGTTCAGATTGGTCCTTTATGCATGGAACATGCAAATATTGATAGGTCAAATCTCTAGTACCCTATCTTTCGAAAAAAAGAAGAAGAAAAGGAATTGTTTTCTGATCAGTTAGGATGATAAATTTTGCGAAAACGACTGGTGTCTGCCCTACAGGTGTTTCTGGTTTTGTTCGGCTGACAAATCCTGAATTTATTAAATGATCCTTAGTGAATATTTGTTCAACCACTACGTCCTGGCTTTTGATAGAGGCCTATATTGAACATTTCAGACATTTTGGTGTTTAAATACTTTGTACCACCCCAACGCCTTCTTTGCTACAAGTTGAAACCCTTCACAGAAGATGAGTTTTCCTACTTTTCTTTTCAGTTTTCCCTTGCGAACGACAATATAGGACAGATTCTATGAGAAAACAAAAAACATTTATAGGGTTTTCTGATTTTCCTGTTTTCCTGGAATGTATAATTTGGCAGATGAAAGCACTTCCACGAATTGTGGGATATTCAACCGAAATAACGAACACATTTGGAGCATAAACAACCCCAGGATTACCGATTAGTTATAATGTGTGGGCAGGAATTCACAAAGATAGAATTTTGGGTCCTCATTTATTCGACAGAATACTGAATGAAAAAACCTATTGGCAGTTTTCAACGTGGATTTTCGAAAACTATTTGGATGATCTACCTTTGGCTTACTATAACAACATCTGGTTTTAACATTATGGTGCTCTACCGCAGACTACCAGACGAGTATCTGATTACCTGACTGAAATGATTGGTGATAAATAGATAGGGAGTAATGGGCCGGTGAAGTGGCCAGCAAAGTCTCCAGACTTAAGTGTTATGGATACATTCTTATGGAGTACACAAAAAGTTCATGGTCAGAGGGAATATCAAAATATTGAGAACCTTCAACA